GAGTTGTCTCAAGTATGAAATACAATTCATTGTTTCTATTTTACCTTTTGAGTTCAACTCTGGCCTTAAATTTGAACTTGGTAGCATGGATTTTCTTAAAGAATATACATATCTCACTATATATAGTATTTTGTAATAGTTCTACAATAATATTCTCAATTTTTTTATTAATTAATGAGTAATAATAACAACAACCCTGCTATGCTTTCTAATGTGTTTCTTTCATGTAAGAAAGAAACATATTAGAACATGATTGAATTTCAAACGTAATATTAAATAGTATTTTACATCTGAAGCCGAAAACGTCTGGTAAATTTCATATATTTTCATGGATGAATTCAATATTCATGAGACATATCAAGGCTTCTTTTGTTTTAGTTTTAATTATTATTGATTGACAATCAGAAATTCAGTATTAATCAAAAAAGGATTCCTGATAGAGAAATGTTCCAATTCTAAAGTGTTGTCACTTAGTACTTGGTTGGGGTTCCTTTACCATGAATTATTGCATCAGTGCAGTGTGGCATGGAGGCAATCTCTGCCGAGGTGTTACAGGTTACTTTGATTTTTGGGTTGGGTATTTCTCATTTTCCTCTGGACAATACTTCACAGAGTTTCTGTGGAGTTCAGGTGATTGTGAACTGGCTGGTCAATCAATCACAGTAATAACATGGTCACCAAACTATTTGGTAGCAGTTTTGGCATTATGAGTAGAAGCTGAAAGGAAATTGCTGTCTCCATAAAGCTCTTAAGAAGATTTTACTGAATTTCTCTAAAAAGTCCTGGTTGACACTCTATTGACTTTGGAGTTGACCAACCACCAACAACACCACAAATTATCACACAGTGCAGGACATTCACATGGGCCTTCACTACCGCTCTGTTCCTTCATCTGAGAGGAGGTCCACATCCAGATGTTGTTCTCCCTGGCCCAGGTAAGACGCCTCTGACATCTCTGGTTCAGGAGTGTCTCCTACCATAAATCGATGATCGTCATCTGGACAGCTGTCGAGTCAGCAGTTTTCCCCATGATTGAAGCTGCATGTGCTGAACTAAACTGAGAATTGTATAACATTTGTAATGTCTGAATGGTAATTGAAATGAAATGGTCTAATAATCTGACATACTGGATTTCAGATTTTTATTTTAACTAAGAAAAACTGTTTTCAGATGGACGTATACAGGTTTTGACACGGTCGAAGGGCTTCTCGGTATCTAACGAGGTGAACGTGCGAATTCCAGGAAGGCTTTAGTTCCAAAATACTGATGGGCTTTGGGCTGTGGCTACAATGTAGCTTGCCATCACCAGTGTGTGGAATGTGTGTGTGAATGGGTGAATGACTGAATGTAGTGTAGTAGTAAACGCTTTGGGGTCCTTAGGGACTAAGTAAAGCACTATACAAATACAGGCCATTTACCAAATAACTTCATTAATCTTATAGATTTATAAATGGAAAAAAAGTTTTATTTGTTAGTGCCGTTTGTAATTGAATGCTACATACATACAGATAATCTTAGCATGAATGTACACGTACTGTATGTCGCCACAAAGTTTTTTTCTTTTCAAAGGTTTGTTTTCAACATCATTCACATGAACTACAGTACAATTTGGGAGGGAGGGGTTGGACAAAAAAAAAGAAAAGAAATGATATCGGAGGGAATGGCGCTGTGTGGAGGAAGGGCTTGGTGACACCGGTTCCCAAAGACAGAAACACAGGAACTAACACGGCAAGCATGCAGAGAGCAAGACACCAGGGTCTGACGGGGTTATTTATTGGAACTGAAAAGGAAACAGAAAACAACGGGTGGGTTAACTGGTGCCTTTACTGGCCTTTCACTGCAGGAGGGTAGGGGGTAATCATTTGTGCTTGTACAAAATGTTTTCCTCTGTTTGCTCATCAGATACGACGATTTTTTAAAAACCCACCCACCCCCCTTGATTTTGAAGATTTCCTCACTGTAACTTTTGGTCCGACCCAAACAGTACTCTACGACATAAAAAATGAACAAAAAAGAAATAAAATAATGCATCCAGGCAGCCAAGGTCAGGAGTACTAATCACTGTAACAGTGCTGCCTGGCTGGCATTAGGTTAATCTTTGGCTTTTAACATACATTTGTACGTTGTTGTTATTATTATTATTATTAATACACATAAGTGAGGTCCTTATTCTGCAACTTGAGCGACTATTTTCTATTATACACATCTAATGATGTGTCAGCACCGATCAACTAGTCCTTGCGCACTTGCGTTTCTTGGCAAAATATGAACCCAGCCCCAGTGATTCCTGATGTGTGTGTGTGTCATAGTAATTCTGCATTTCCAAAGCTGTGGCTCACCTACCCCAAGGCCCTGGTCTCTCCCTCCAGGAATACAGATATTCATATCAATTCAAATAACATTAATTAAAAAAAACAAACAAACAACTTACAGTACTTTTGTTTTTTAAACCTCAAATCGACCTTGTTCTGAACATCGTTCAATACCAGATTCATAAAAGTAAAAAAATAATTAATGATAATAATAATAATGATAATAATAATAATGATAATAATAATGATGGTGGATAGAAACAGAAAGGAGTAGATGAGGCAGAGAGGCACCGCGGCCCCACTTTTAAGGCGAAAACAAAAAGTAAAGAACTGCAAGCTAGAATTTAAAAAAATAAAGTTACTTCTGTCTCCTCAGTGTGTACTCGGTTCTTTCCAATACTGCACTCAAACCATGAATCGAGCATTCACGGCGTTCACAGCCAACATGTAAACTATCTGGTGTTCCAGGACCCTTTAGCACAACTACAATCTCTTAGCTTTCAGAGGAGAGGAAGGAGCCAATCTCTCTGGTAATAAACCCACCCTGACAGACACGACGTCGTACGTAGCAGGACAAACAGATTTAACAGGTGTTTCAAACCGTGGAAATTATTCAACACATGCTGCAGGACGGTCCTGCAGACACAGCTCTCACAAAGACCAGTACAGTTAGTAATAACAACAGTAATAACAAAGAAATAGAAAAAGGCAGGTTGGTTGAAACAATTCTACTACAATTCACTTCAGTCTGAATTTCCCTGTTTGACAGAACACCGTTTACATTCACGCATTCAGACTCGTGTGCGGGTTTCTCTTTGAGACTCCTCGCGACGCACTGGCACAGTCACTACATGGACTACAAAATGAAAACGAAATACAAAAAAAAAGAAAAGAAAAAAGCATTTTTCATAACATTTCACGTGGTAAAAAGTAGCAAGAATACAAAAACAGCTCTTCAATACCTATTTTCATAAGAAAGACATTTTCGACTCATCTGGCTAAGCACACCCACACATCCAGAGTTATATACAGGATGAGGATGAGAGACTTTGACACTTTTAAATGCACGACAGCACTGACCTCTGCAGGAATAGTACATTAGTGTGAAATATATTTTTCTGTATTGAAGGATTAGAACAGCTGAAGCTTTTGCAGACTTAAATTTGGGCTGGCTGATTAGTCTACACACCACAGGGTGTAGCTTTATACTGTTCACACATAGAATTATTTAACCGTAGGACAACGCATTCCCAAATCCCCAATGCCGTTTCACTTCACATACACCGATCAGCCATAACATTAAAACTGCCAGCCTAATATTGCATTAGAGCCTCTCGTGGTGCCAAAAAAAGCTCTGACGTTGGCAGCAGATATTTGGGGGCCTGTGGTGCCTCTGTGGATTGAATTTGTTCCAACACACTGGGTCAACACCTTTGGCTGCTATGTTATTGCTAATTGGTGTAAAATGAGGCGTTCACTGGCCACTTCTTTAGTAAGAAGAGTAAAAATAAAAATGGAGGTTAAGGATACCCAAAGCATTTCAGACCACTCTTTACCCAAAGATATTAAAGTGAGTGCATGCATGTCTTGGAGGGCGGTATGGAAAGTCACACTTTCTGATACTAAACAGTGACAGGCTGAGTCAGGAAGAGCAGGAAGCAGAGGAAAGATGTAGGGAATAATGAGAGGGGGAGAAACTGAAGGGAGGCCAAGAGCAGTCATCACAAACCCATTGCAGACATGCAGTTTTTTTCCATTAAACCGACACCATCGAAACGAGTAAACTTCACGTAAATGAGCACTCGGGTCACTTTTATGTAAAAGTCGCAATGGCAATCCTACAAGATCAGACCTCGTAAACTCTTAAGTATCAGTTTCGATACAGGACAAGTGGACACGTTAACTGAGATTACACACACGACTTCCTGAATTCCTCAGTTCTTTGTGTACAAAACATTTGATCTCTTTAAGTCGAATTCTAGTTTCTAGAATTCTAGTTAAATAATTCCTCTGTGATGCTCTTCTGCTTTTCCAATTTCAGAAGAAACATCTCTCTGCTGCAGCGCACACAGAGAAAAGAATCTAAAGTCTGGAGTCAATACTGATGACACTCAAGCTTTTTTTCTCGAGGTATGAAAAGATTTTGCACGAGTACCACAGTAGGTCTGATGCGTGTCTGAATGAGACCATGGGTGCCAATAACGTAAATATGACCTATGCCTGAATGACAATCTGCTATCACCTTAATGGAATGCTTTGCATCCCATGTTTGAAAAGGGCTATAGTAGCAAGAGGGGAGAAGAAGAAGAAAAACAAGAGGACTCCACTTTAGTGGATACTAAAGGTTGCGACTCAGCCTGAATGATTTACTCGATACTCTTTTAAACATCCTACCAAACTGTTTTAAAAACAACAAATCCTGTGTTACTTTCTACCGACGTAACAGGGATGCTTCTTATTCTGATTCTGCTCATTTCTGAGGGGAGGAAATTAGGGTGGATCTGCTAGATCAACCTGCGATATGGCACTTGTTCCTGGGAGTTACGTGGTTGTGGTGAGGGTTGGGTTTATAAAAACAAGGACCAGATTTAAGAAGAGACAAAAAAAATGTTCCGTTTTTATGGAATGACAAGACTTGGAGTAACATTAACTGGGCGGGTTAGCAGAGCGACAAAACCCTGATGTAGCACTGTTGGAATGAATACGACAATTCAGGACTCTCCTGAAAGTGTGGTTAACGTTAGGCTGAATAAATAGCCCAGAAGGGACAGACAAAAGTTCAAACTAAGAAGTCAAGGGTTTATATGCACTGGGGCACAGGGTAACCCCCTCCATCAGCTGTGTGCTGCACCGTGTGGTCCTGCAAGGAGCCCAAGTCACTGAAACGCTCTCCGCACCAAACACACTTGAACTGACCCTCTCTGGAGTGCGTGCTCTGGTGTTTGGTCAAGTGCTCGCGTTGTTTGAAGCCCTTATTGCAATGACCGCACTTGTACGGTTTTTCGCCCGTATGCACGCGCCGGTGTCGGTTCAGGTCCGACGAGTACTTGAAACGTTTCTCACAGTCAGGGCACTTCAGTGGCTTTTCCCGCGATGGGTCGCAGCGATGCTGCACAAACTCTGAAGAGGACAGGAAGCGGCGGTCGCAGAGCGAGCACTTGAGGGGCTTCTCCTGGCAGTGCGAGTTTTGATGACGCTGTAACGTGGAACTCTTCTTGTAGCCTTTGCCGCAAACGTCACACTTGTATGGCTTGTCCGGCGAGTTGTTGGACGACTCCCCGCACTTGTGCCTGAGCAGCTCTCCTGACTGGCTGAACTCCTTCTGGCATGAGGCGCACTTGAACAAGTTGTCCATGCCGTGGACGTGCTGGTGGTAGAGGAGGTGAGAGGGCTGCATGAAGCCCTTGTCGCACAGATTGCATTTGAATGGGCGGTCTGTGGGGTCTTTATGAGTGCGGCTGTGGCGCACCAGTGCATACTGCTGCTTGAAACTCATCTGACACTCGTCACAGTGGAACGGACGCTCCTCTGAGTGTGTGCGCTCGTGCTGGCGAAGGTCAGATGGCCGCTTGAAACCCTTACCGCAGGTGGCACAGCGAAACGGCCGGGAACCCTGCGGGTGGCAAGGGTGGTGAAGGAGCTCTGAAGACTCTTTGAAGTGCAGTTCACATAAGTTGCATTTGAACAAGTGCTCACCCGAGTGCACGTACATGTGGCGCACCAAGTGCGAGCGGTGCTTGAAGCTCTTTTCACAGACAGCACACTTGAATGGACGTTCGTTGCTGTGTGTTCGCTGGTGGTGCTGCAGGTGTGACGACTGGCTGAAGGCTTTGTCGCACGTGTCACATTTGAAGGGCTTTTCCCCCGTGTGAACCCTCTCGTGCCGCGTCAGTTCTGAGAGGTGTTTGAAGCCTTTCTGGCACACGGAACATTTGTAGGGCCGGTCTCGGGCCGAGGGGAACGGCAGGATGGACGAGCTGCTGCTGGCTGACGCCCCATCGCTGCTGGGCTGCTGGGAGCTGCTCGAGGAGTTGGGTGTAGCGCTGCCAGAAGAGCCGGGCCGGTAGGTCTTCTCGCATATTGAACATTTCATTGGGTTGGTGCTGTTGTGCGATGTGTGGTGCTGGGCGAGAGAAGTGAGCAGGGAGAAGCCCATCTTACACACCCCGCACACAAACGGCTTCTGCTCCACCTGAACACACTGGTGCTCCAGCAAGTCTGTTGCCTGGTGGAAAATCTTCATGCACTGAGTGCACTGGAATGACCTGTCCTGAGTCACCATGCACTGATGTTCATGTGGGTTTGCCAGGTGGGAGATATCATGTCCACAAGCCCCACACTTGTGTCCTCCCTCTGTCCCAACCTGAAGAGACGTCTGCTGAGCCTGGGCAGGGTGCTGCTGCTGCTGCTGACTGTGCTGCCCACCGACATGCTGCTGACTCCCACTGTGTTGCTGTCCATGCTGGCTCTGCTGTCCATGCTGCTGTAGCGACGTAGTGTCTGGCTGCAGTACGATACCATACACAGCACAGCCCAATGCGTTCTCAGCACCTGGAGGGATGGTGTGGACAACCTGAGGTGGTGCAACTGCATGCTGCTGCCAGGCTTCTGTCATGCGGGCTCGAGTGTAAGGATTGAGCTTGGCAGCTGGTGTGGCCCAACTGCAGGAAGAGAGGGAGAGCAACAGGTATTTCAAAGTACAAGATAAAAGCTTCTGTGTGTGAAGGAGAAATGAAACATAAACTCACTCCATGTCTGCAGCTGGCACCGGAATGCAAAGGCTGCTTGGTGAAGATGCAGGTGAGAAAACAGCCAGGTGCCAAGGGGAAAAGATGACCAGGTGTGTGAAGAAGTAAAAGTAAATCAACTACTTTCACTTTATTCTTTGCCTTCAGATGGTATCTGTATAAAAACAGAATTAAAGTGGGTTATAACAAACACTGCAACTGGCATTCAGTAATAATAATGTTTTTAAGCTAATGATTCCAGCCCTACACCCAGACTGAACAATCTGTTCGGTCTTTATATGTTTAACCAAAAATTTAAAGCCAGAACTACACCAGAAATGAGTACATCAGAGGGGCAGATAGGGTTGAGCAGTTTGGAGAGAGAAGTTAGAGGTGCAAGGCTGAGATGGTATGGACATATGCAGAGGAGGGATCGAGGATATACCGGGCATTGATGATGGAGCTGCAGGCAGGAGAAAAGGAAGACCTCAGGGGAGCTTCATGGATTTAGTGAAGGAAAACATGCAGAGGGTTGTTGTGACAAAGGAGGGTGAGATCGAGGCAAATGAAAGGGAAGAGGAGGAGGAGAAGGGCTCAAATATGAGACTTTACAGGTCTGCTTGAATTGGTTTTCATATTTAACAAGCGAGACATTTTTTATGCCACTGTCCCAAATTACAGTTCCTGATTCTCTTTTATGGTAAGAAAGGCTGGAAAAATATCAGGCTTTTATCTTCAATAGTTTTTAGCTATTTGTGTTCAAACATTGCCTCAGATTTCAAAGTGTGAAAATCTTAAATCGTTTGCTATATGAAGCTAAACATTTACAGCAATCATTAGATATGTCCAAACTTTGGATCGTGAAATCCTTTGGCAAACTGTAGATGTTCGAGCAGAAAACGGGATGAGCTTTATGAGTCCATCTGTGATGGGGCAATATCTGCTCAGTAAAAACTGCTCATTTGCTTGTGTGAGCTTCTTGCACTAGGTTCAGCGATCACTGTAGATTTTAGCGAAGCAAAGCTTTTAATGTTAGGTTTAAAACAGGTGAATGACAGACTGTGCGGGTAACTACACATGTGGGCACTTTCTCTCATTGCAGTCATCATTAGACCTTCACTCACATTCATTCTTCAAAAAGCATATATTCATGGAAATGACAACGAGATCAATGATACTGGTCAAGGTGAGGCCAGCGCAATTAGGCTGTAAACAGTGAGGGTGTTTGAAGATATGCAAGGTCTATGAAAGCAGCAGCAAGTGAACTCATTAACATACAGTCTTAGATCGCAAAGATTAGAGCCGGCTTTTATTTAAATGGTATAATAGTGGCGGTGAAGTCCCCTCCCCTCTCTATGTACGAAACTAAATGCCCAACGACTCACGGTAAAAAGTGGAAAGCAGCGTCTGCGCATCATAATGTTTCTCGTCTCCAGGCGAAGATCACTGTAACCAGGTTAGCTTAGCTACCTAGCCTAGCCACTTGCTAACGCATCCACAGGAGCTTACGATGGAGATTAGCAGGCTAGCCACAGCAAAATAGGAGCCAGGTAGCAGCAACAGCGACACGCTAGTTATACGAGCCCTTCATGTAAACAACGATGGGAAAATGCCAGGTTTACATACCCGGAGTGTCCAGTCAAGCCTGCTGAGTATTCTCTGTATGATCGTAGGCTAGCTGTTCCCCATAAAAAGCGCTGGGTCCCTTCCTCACATCCGCAAAAAGGTGCTCGGATGCTCTCTTGTTCAAGCGCTGTGGCTTCGGGGGGCGAAAAAAATGTGATTTGCGGCTCATTAAAACACGCGGAAATTCTCCCGCGATTTCACCATCAGCCCCGCAAACAGCATCATTTCACGTAAACGTGCGTCTGACTCCTAGGGCATCCTCGCGGCTCACGGAAAGATGTGGCATTTTGTTAGAAGTTGCTAGCCTGGTATCGACTAGCTACTGAGCCTCTGCCCGCGCGCACGGGAACATGAATAAAGCAAGAGTTAATTGGCATGCTCGCACGCACACACACACAAGTATAGAGCCCAGTGTGTGAAGGCTTTAATGTAAGATTTAGCAAAAAAAAAAAAAAAAAAAAAAACCCTGTTCCGTATCTATACTTTAAAGAATAGAAAAAAAATAAACAAATATATTTTCTAAATGGCTCTTTTAAACTTGGTATATTTTGTTCCGAATAGCTCACACTGCATTAATACACATATAATACACATAAGATACACAGCTGATACAGTATATACACATTTTCTTTAATCCACAAACCATCGAAAGGGGAACTGATTTACAGCAGGCGTTATGTTACACCGGAGCCTAATTTATGGTTACAACAGGTTGTTTATATCGGAAGTGAAGCGCAGAAGGCGCTGGAAGGCATGCACCTTTCTTATGTGCATGGTTTAAAAGGTTATATGAGCTCCCGTGAGTTGATCTCTTATTTTAAATAATGTGGCGGAATATCAGGTAGTTTAAAATGTTGGTTGGCTACAGCAGCAGCAGCTCGGAGGAGGACGGTGAGGCTGGCGGTGAAGCTGAAGGAGCGAAAAATCAGAGTGAAACTACCTGCCGAAAGTGCCAAGAGGAAGATGATGGTTTGCCAAAGAGGAAGAAACCCAAAACTGAAGAAGAGAGCCCCAAATCAAGGTGTGTCTCATGGCTGTGTAACCCTCTCTCGGGTGTTAGCGTTGGTGATATAGCTAAGCTACGGAAGACCAAACCTGCCCAAACTATAAATAAATATATAACAGAATAAAACAGTATAGGCAACGGGCAATCTATAAAATGTGAAGTAAACGAAATAATAAATAAATAAATGTTATTTCAAACCTGTCCTATCCACCTGCCTCTTTGTTTGCCCCATGTGATCATAACCTGGTTTTCCTGCAACTTTCTCAAATTGAATAGTCATAAAAACTGAGGTCATTGGCACCAAACTGAC